TGCCTAGGCGACCACTTGGCCGCCTAATTTTGGCCGGAGCGGCCAGCCTAGCTTTTAAAACAAAAAAAACTTGTTAAACCCCTTACTCGGGGCAAACCCATAACCCAAACCCATTACCCAAACTCATAACCCAAACCTAATGCTATTCTCTCTCTTTTTCCCACTCTAGCCACCTCCTCTCTCAAACAATCAAACTCTCGACTCTCTCCCCATCTCTTCCTTGCTGCCTCCTGCTCGCCAGCGACCTCCGCTCCCCCCCATCCGCCCCCTCCTCGCTTCTCTTCCGCCGCCAAGTAGCCTCCTCTCGCGACCTTGCGGCCTGCCTCCGCTCCCGGCTTCTCCCGCCACCAGCAACCTCACCGCTAGCCGCCCCAGTCGCCAGTGATCCCAATTCTCTTGCCTCTTCTCTTTTGTAGGTAACATTTTCATCTTTTTTCACTGTTCAATTTAGTAAATAGTTAATATTGTTTAATTTAGTTCAATTAATTAGTTTAATTTAGTTAATTAGTTAATCTTGTTCAATTTTATCCACTGTTTTTAATTTTAGTTAATTTTAGTTTAATCTTGTTCAATTTTAGTTCAAATTTATTTACTGCTCAACTTCAACTTAGTTAATTTTAGTTAATCTATGTAATTAATAATTGAGATTAAAATCTTGTTCAATTTTACATATACTCCTATAGAAGAGATGAATAAAATAGTAAATAGATGTTAATACTTAATAGATCAAGTTATGTGATTTAACTCGATCAGTGTTATGTTTATTGTCAGCACTGTCTGTTCCACGCCAGGATAAATGAGGGTTGTATTAGGTAGCCGATAGTCAGATCCACATGACAAATGAATCCTATTATATACTCGTTGGGGCGTCCCTACCACGACGTGTTGCATCAATGTCACCCCGATGCAATGATAAGTAAGCATTCGTGGTTTGTTAGGGTGTCCCCCGGAAGCAACGTTTTACATCGATGTCACCCCGATGTAATGACAAGTAAGCAAGAGTATTCTAAGAATCTACAATCTTCTAATATGTTACCTAATAGTATTAGGCATAGACTAGAATGGTCTAATAGGGAAAATGGTAGGAGACTTTTACAAGAAAATAGAATTAGATTAGCTACTTGGAATATAGGTACATTTACCGAAGAGACTATGGAATTAGTGGATGTCATGCTTAGAAGAAAGATAAATATAATTTGTTTACAAGAAACTAAATGGATAGGTGAAAAATCTAAAGAAATTAAAAAGACCGGATATAAATTTTGATAACACGGGAAAAGAGAAGAATAGGAATGGAGTAGGAGTTCTTGTAGATAATGTAATAAAAAAGTATTGTAGAGGTAAGAAGAGTTGGAGATAGAACAATACTAATAGAAGTTGTCTTAGATGTAGAGGTTATTAATATTATTAGTACTTACACACCACAAATAGGCTTGCCCGAGAGTACTAAAAGGAAATTTTGAGATAGATTAGATGAATTAGTACAAGGAATCTCATTTGGAGAGAGATGATTTATAGGAGGGGATCTTAATAGGCATGTTGGTAAATATAATAACGTATATGAGAGGATACATAGAGGTTTCAGGTATGGAGATACGAACAATATGGGTAAATCAATTTTAGAGTTTGCAATATCGTACAGTGTTTTAAATATCGGCCGACACGTCGGACATGTCGACCGATATAGCGGATTGAGAGGTCAAGCGACACGAATCGGGGAAATTTAAGTCGGATGTCGTTTTTCAGGTAAAAATCGGATATATCGGCTAAAAATCGGATATGTCGGCCGATTTTTCATGTTTGAAAAATCGATCGATATATGTGATTATCGTTTCAGGCTTATTGGGTTTGGTTTGGGTTCATTGAAACCCATTTGACCTTTATCGGTTCAGTTAGAATAGAGCAGGCTCAGTTCGAATCTGATAAGACACACGATCAAAAGAAAAAAATAGAAGAAAAACCCTAGGGCTCAGCTCGAACTCAGCAGCCTTCTCGTCTTTGTCATTGAAAATCGAAGCCGAAGTCGCCTCGTCTTCTTCCTTGCGCCATCGGAGCCGCTTCTCGTCTTCGTTGTTGAAATCTGAAGCCGAAGCCGCCTTCTCGTCGCTTCTCGTCTTCGTCCTTGAAATCCGAAGCCAAAGTCGCCTTCTTGTCTTTCTTCCCTGCGCCATCGGAGACGCTTCTTGTCTTCGTCGTTGAAATCCGAAGCCGAAGCCGCCTTCTCCTCTTTTGAGCCGCCTTCTCGTCTTCGTCCTTGAAATCCGAAGCCGAAGCCATCGAAGCCGCCCTCTCATCTTCGTCGCAGGCTTCAGCCGTCAAGTAAGCCTCCCTGAGTCCTGACCCCTCTCTCTCTCTAATGACAAATCTGTTTACATTTTTTTCAGTTTACATTTTTTCAGACTTAATTTTTTTCAGACTTTACCTCTCTGTGGTACTCACCGCTAGCTGTTAAGTAAAAGGGATTATTTCAAGGACTTTGCTCTCTGTGCTACTCACTAATGACAAATATGTTTACATTTTTTAAATCTGTTTACATTTTTTAAATCTGTTTACATTTTTCAGTTTACATTTTTTCAGTTTGTTTCAGGATGCAATCGAGAATTAAATTTCTACAATCGGTTAGTGATCCTAAACATCATATACTTTTTTATGTCTAGTCTATAAAATTTATAAAGTATGTTTATATTGAATTTAGGAATGCTTAGATTATATTTAGGACATGATATTATACATATACGCACCACCCAATATGGTAATCCCATATTTAGTCTATGTCCCCCGATATATCCCTGATTTTCGCTATCCGACATGGATTTCAGTCGGCCGACATGAACCTGACATCTGATATTTAAAACCTTGATATCGTATGATTTGATAGTAGCAAATACACTTTTTAGAAAAATGGATGAACACTTAATAACCTTAAAAAGTGGTTCTAATAATAGTCAAATAGACTTTTTCCTTACTACAATGGCGGATAGGTTTATATGCAAAGATTCTTAAGTTATACCAAGAGAGAGTTTAAGTACACAACATAGATTGATGGTCTTAAATATATATATTAAGAAGTGGAGTAGAATAACTAACGTGAACAAGAGACTAAGAACTAAATGGTAAAATTTAAAAAGTGGGAATTTAATACATTTTAAAGATAAGATAATGAAAGAAGATATATGGAACATAGATAATGAGACTAATATTATGTGGAATAGCATGTCTTCTTATATTAGGAAAATGGCTAAAGATATACCAGAAGAATCTAAAGGTTGTAGATTAGACGGTAATGAGAGTTGGTCGTGAAATGAGAGTGTGCAAAAGGTTGTTAAAGAGAAGAAAACTTTATATAGAGTGACAAAAATATAAGAGTAGGGAAAATTTAGAAAAATATAAACTAGTAAGGAATGAAGCAAAAAGCGGTTATTGAGAATAAATACAAGGCTTATGAAAAATTTTATAAGAAGTTAGAATCTATGGAGAGAGAGAAAAATATATATAAGCTTGCTAAGATTAGTGAAAGGAATAGTAAAAATTTGGGTAATATTAGGTGTATTAAAAATGAGGATCAAAGAGTTCTAGTGACCGACGGGAAAATAAGAAAGAGGTGGAGGAGTTACTTTTGTCAATTGTTTAATGATAACCAAACAAGTGAGCAAAATAGAGATTTTGACCATATAGTGAATGATAAAAACTATAGATATTGTCAAAAAATTAGAATTAGCAAGGTTAAAGATGTTCTAAAGAAAATAAAAAGTAAAAGAGCCGTAGGACTGGACGGCATGCCTATTGAAGTTTGGAAATATCTTGCAGATATAGGCTTAGGATGGTTAACTAAACTATTTAACAAGATTATCGAGATGAAACGAATGTCAGATGAGTGGAGGATTAGTACTTTGATACCGATATATAAGAATAAAGGGGATATACAAAGTTGTTCAAATTATCGAGATATAAACTCATGAGTCATACTATGAAACTTTGGGAGAGGGCAATTGAGCAAGCTCTGAGAAAAAAGACAATTATATCTGAAAATCAATTTGGGTTTATCTCTGAGAAATCAACTATGAAACCTATATATATATATATATATATATATATATTGAGACGGTTGATGGAGAGATATAGAGAGAATGTGGTGGATATTCGAAAAGAAATACGTATCTAGTATAGATATTGATGTGATTAAAGATATGTATGATAGAGTAACAACTAGAGTAAGAACTAATGAATGAGAGACTAAACTATTTCCTATTACCATAGGTTTACACTAAGGGTTAGCTTTAAGTTCTTATCAATTTACATGTGTTATGGACGAACTTACTAAGCACATTAAGAATGAAATCCCATGGTGTATATTATTTGCCGATGATATAGTATTAATGGATGAAACTAAAAAAAGGCATTATTTTTAAGTAGAAATATGGAGATAAGCTCTTCAATCTAAAGGTTTTAAAATTAGTAGAACAAAAACAGAATATATGGAGTACATTTTTAGTAAAACTAGAAAAGGAAGAGATCCTATAGCTATAGTACATATTGATAGCTAAGAAATACTAAAAACTAATTATTTTCGCTATTTAGGATCAATCATTAGGTATGATGGTGAGATAGTGGATGATATTGTACATCTAATCAAATCGGGATGGTTGAAATGAAGAAGTGCTTGGGAGTCTTATGTGATCATAAAATACCAATAAAACAAAAGAAAAATTTTTGTAGGACGGTTATAAGACCAACTATGCTTTATGGGTTAGAGTGTTAGACAATTAAAAAACATGTTCAAAAAATAAGTGCAGCAAAAATAAAAATATTACGATGATCTTGTGGGTATACATTAAAAGATAGGATAAAAAATGAGTGCATCCGTAGTAAATTAGAGGTTGCGCCTAATGAGGATAAAATGAGAGAGAATGAATTAAGATGGTTTAGTCATGTACAACGGAGACCCCTTAGTGCACCAATTAGAAAAAGCGATAATATTAGAGTTAATAGGCTAAGGGATCTAGAGATAGACCTAAAATAATTTGGTTAGAAACAATTAAGAATGATATGATTAAGATTAACTTAACGAAGGAGATGACTCATAACAGAATGGAATGAAAAAAATAGAATTCATGTAGCTGACCCCAAACATTTGGGATAAAGGCTTGGTTGTTATAGATCAAGTTATGTGATTTATTTGAATCTTTTATTTATGTATTTATGCATGCTTGATTATGGATCTAAGCTTGTTATTTATGTTTTTTTGCAATTTTATATGAACGTAATATATATTTTTGTAAATTAAATTAAATAAATTTAAAAATAGGCAAACGCCTAGACGCCACCTAGGCGCTAAGCCCCGGCTCGAATGTCTAGTTCTCCTAGCGACTTCTGTAACATTGACAACGGTTAGGGTTGAGTCGATACAGACATGCTTGAAAAGTTAAAATAGATGCTAGGACATACAACATAACTACAAAGTACTCACCGATAGAACTGATAGAGGTGGTCCCATAAGGAAAACAAATAGTGTTCCCTGAGCACAAGAACTCGTGCATTTTTCAAGCCCAGATAATAAGGTAAACATATAAATGCCTCACATTTCTCTATAGGGGATATTTTTGGAGTAGCAACCACGTATATATTAATATGAATCGCTTAAATACTTTGATGGAGAACANACAATCCCCCCCCCCCCTGGATCTACTACATTCAAGTTTAACTCCCATTAGTCAAAGAGAAGTAATGTGGCAGAGGATGATGGTGGTACAATAAGATAAGATAGAAATAGGATGCCAATGGGCATGAAATGAGGCCACTTGTCGTCCTTATGTCGAAAGATGAAGTGTGAAAGTGAGTGGATACCGCACAAGATGAGACATTTGCTACAACATAGTCAAGTAAAAAATTGAGATATTAGAGGCGAACACAAGCCGGATTCTTCTAAGAGGACCCATGCAAGAGAGTGATCTAAAAGGATAAAAAAGGGGGGTTTTGTTTATGAACACAAAGGTTTACTCTAATTTATTTTTAAACCCACTGACTTTCAAATTGACCTTTAAACCCAAATACACAAACCCATTTATGTTTAAACCCAAAACGTATATTTCACACAGTTTATACCATGTATTTTCTAAAAATAACCTAAATCCCTAAAATACCCTCATTCATCATCTTCTTCAACCCATTCATCATCTTCTTCAACCTCAATTCCTAAACTCGTCCACCCCTACTGCATTTGATCACCCCCTGCTGCGTCTCCTCCCTCCAACCCCTTACCTCATCTCATTACTCACATTTGTTTTAGTAAAATGGATGCATAACACAAACTCAATAAAAACCTAACAAAGATTGTTCCCTTGATTGAATAGATTGCAAATTAGATCATGAAACATGGCCTTGAGAGTTGAGAGTACCCAATCCAAATCTTAACAAGTCCTTCCACTCACTCGAGTGATTGGGTTCTCTACAACAGAGTCGAGATTTGAGGATTCGGCCAAGGAGTTGTTGTTGTGTTGGAGGAAGGAGAAGGTGGGCGCAACGGTGGTTAGAGGCGAGTGGTCGAAGGTAGGTGGGTTGGATGATTCTGAGGTGGGTGGATAGATTTTTAGGGTTAAGGTTGAAGAACAAGATGAATAGGGTAGTTTAGGAATTTTAGATTATTTTTAGGCAATACAACATATAAAATACATGAAATAAACAATTTGGGTTTAAACATAAATGTCTTTATGTATTTTGGGTCTAAAGGTCAATTTCAAGGTAAGTGGATTTAAAGATAAACCAAGGTGAACCTTTGGGTTCATAAACAAAAACCACTAAAAAAACTTAATTATGGTGCAAAAGATGTGTGAAATGATTTTTAAATGTGCATATGCATTTCATTGGCTTTCAAGATGTTCTGGGGTGTTGGTGGTGACTGGTCATACTGGTGTTTCTTTTTTTTCTTTCAACTTTTTTTTGTGAGCATGAAGTGTGGGTACATGCATGCGTGTTTTTTTCTTGGAAGGTGAGAGGTTTCCGATGTTGTTGAAAGGAAAGCAGGTACTTGGTTATTGGAGATTGAAGAAAACTGAGCACACGATTGTTATCCACCCAATCAATGAGTGCCTAGTTGGTAAAAATGTAACTTGTATAGGTCTGAAAGAATAGGAAGTTGACTAGACCTTATCTTCTGCTACAATCTCATGCTCCCCACCCGCCACGCCACCCCAAAAAAAAAAAAAAAACAGACATGAACACCTCGACAAATGTGAGGGGGAGAGAGAGAGAGACCAAGAACCCTAATTAATCCAACAACATACAAAAAAGTCAGTGAAATAAAGCCGAATTCTGTTACCATGTCATCTGCCTGACCCATGTCTGATAGGTTAAATTTCCCCCCAAAGAAGGTGAACTCTCCTTATCAAGTTTAAGAGGAAGCTTATGAAACTCTTCTAGGACAAAAAGGTTGTGTTACAATTTAAGTTTTTTTAAAAAAGAAAAACTCAGCGAAAATAAGAAGTACTGAGTTTCCCGTCATATTTTTCCAGGATTTAACTTCTACAAACACAATGCCATACTGTGATAAATAGGACAAAAACATCAAATTAGTGTTTGTGTTTTCAGAATTCCACGTCATTGTGTAAATAGCATCTAGAGACTAAATAAGGCCCAGTGATTTATTTACATGTCAACTTAGAGATAAATTCCGCATAACTAACAAGATTTAGTAGGGGTCTCCCCCAAAAATATCGTAAACTATTTTATTCAAGAAAAATACAAAAACTTTCATACCAGAAAAATGTTACCATATGCTATCTAAAGACAACCAATGAATTAAATACCATGAACTTTTATTTACGTTTTACCAAATTGAAATTACCATGAATCTTCAGATAAAATCACTAAAACATATGAGTTTTATGCCGTCCTCAATGACTACCATGGACTCTGAGGTATTATCACAAAACTATCACATACTTTTCTGAAAGCACATGGGCAGCGTTCTACTGATTTGAAACTATCACATACTTTTCTGAAAGCACATGGGCAGCGTTCTACTGATTTGAAAGTTATGATATATTTCTCTAATTGAAGTAGTTTGCATATGATACAAAAATTGATAAATATATCTGGGAGCAGAAACAATACCGATTCAATGGCATAGCAAGGGACCATCAAGATAACACCAACCAGAAACTTCTGCTCCTGTAATTTCACAGACAAAAAAAACAAAATTAAAAAAAAAATCCAAATCAAGCTCAAAAATAACAACGAAGATGCCCGATGACGACGACGATGACGAGAAGCAAAACCTCAGGATTCTTGTAAGCGGAGAGGTGTTGAAACAAGAGGTGCGTGGACAGCGACAGCGAGACTACTACAAAAACTCCGGCGATCGCCGTCGCCCATTGCGGCGGCGAGTAAGCGGCAAGGAACGGATAAAGGGAATCCCCCCAAAGATTCTCCATCGTCATCAAGAACAAGCTTGCCCTGCTCGGCTCTCATGACTGCTAACCATTTGAGATAGCGGATGAAGATCAAATCTTGGGGATCAAAAGGTTTAAGATTCAGGGTCAGAGAGAAATCGAGTCCGAGGGGGGGATTAGGGTTTGATTTCGGGGGGAATCTGGGGCCGGTCAGCGAGGACAATGGGGGCGGAGTTGGAAGTCAGTCGAGTTACGATTCGCATTTTTTTTTTCTTTTTTTGGATTTTAAATTTGTTTTATTTAGGGTTAATTTCCAGCAAACCCCTAAGTGTTTTGAGATACCCCAAAGTGTAAGGGTCCACTTGAGATAAACAAATTACCGGGGGTTATCGTAAAGTACTCCCAAGTTTTGGGGTTAGGCGCAAATTAAACCTTTTATATTTGAGAAAGATGGAGGTTGAAACCCGAAATAGGCCGCTGTGGACCCAGTGATTGGGTTAGTTGGTTTGGGCCGCTGGGGTTATGGGTTTTATGGTCCTAAAGGAAAGTGGCGTGCATGAGACAGTGAGCACGTGTCTCACATTTTATTGTCCTTTCTGTTTCTTACAAATTTTCGTTTAAAGTTTATTTTAGGACAAATTTTTAAAAGCACCATTTTTTCAATTTTTTATAGTAAAACCGACCATATGAGAAAATAATCTGCAAAACTGACCATTTTCTTCGGAAAATGGTCGGTTTTACAATCGTGATGTTTTTCGAGCTACACGGGACTGCTAGTCCCGTGTAGTTCGGTCAGCAATTGAAATGCACGGGACTGTTAATGCACGGGACTAACAGTCCCGTGCATTTGATTTTTCTTTTGAATAGTCTTTGCTTAAAACTCGGGACTAATAGTCCCGAGTTTTAAGCAGAGACTTTTTGGGACACAAAACCAATTGCACGGGACTGCCAGTCTCGTGCTTTTCGGAGACATAATAAAATGCATGGGACTAGCAGTCCCGTGCATTTCCTGTGCACAAACCTACACATGTTTCTGTTGTTCTGTTGCTTTTCCTGTCAATTCCCTATATAAACTCATATATCAAATCTAAAAATCATAAATTACACCATTGTATTTCCTCTCAATTCCTTGTATAAACTCATATATCAAATCTAAAAATCATAAATTACACCACAAACTCATTTACAAATTCAACAAACCACACTACAAACTCATTTACAAATCCAACAAATCACGCCACAAACTCACTTACAAATCCAACAAATCACGCCAAAAACCATCTCATATTCCGAAATAGGTTTGTAATGTACATACCAAATAGGATTGTAATGTATATAACAATAATGATTTGTTTACATACATCCAAGAACTCTCCTCCTCCTCCTTTGTCTTCGGCCTCCTCCATCCCGGCCTTCGACAAGTTCATAATCCGGTTGCGTTTGTGGTTGTGACGGTCCAGCTCCGTCGTCAACACGTTGGGAAGGCCCAGCTTCATTGTCATTTCTGCGTCGTCCTCGTCTTTGTTGTGATTGACGCGTATATACAAATTGTGTTACCTCTCGTCCATCATGAAGGTCTTCGTGAGTTTGGTGTAAGGCTTGATGAAGCCTCCGCATTATTGACTGATATATTGATGCATATTCCTGTGCTTCGGGATATGTACCTGCGAGGGATAATTCAAAAAATACGAAATGCAAAAATTACTTTAAAATTCAAATTACATAATGTAAATTTCATATTCAATTCTATATTACCTGCTCGAGCCAATTCTATGTCACGATTTGCAATGGTTTGAACATCATCTATTGCTGATGCCTATAAATTTTTTAGAAAACACAAGTAAACAATATTGAGAAATATCAATAAAAATGGACTTAAAACAAAATTTGAAAATACTTACTAATTCTCTCTCATCTATACCTCGAGACACATATCCTTTTTGCAACTCAACCGGTATTGTGGTCGCATGGAGTATCCATCTTCTGGTTATCCCCCAATACCAAGTGTAGTAATCTGATTCCCGGGGAGTTGGTTCAATTTGCTCAACAATACAAAAATATATATATCATTCCATTTGTGTATATAGTTTTGATGCTCAGCTGCCCAGTCCTTTTGTTGGCCTCCTTTCTTTGTCTTCCTCTCTATTTTTCAACAAATTCCGGAACATGTTGTGCAAGACCAAATTGTCGAAGCACGCGGTCCGGTACATGCATTTCTACTATTTCAAAATGCATAACGTGGGGTAGATGATTGAGAAATTGGGTGTAGGGCTCTCATTCCATCTACAAAGTATTTCATATAATTGTTGCAAATCATTAAAACCAAAGTTGATATATAGAAGAAAAAGCTCATTTTTATAGAAATGATACCTGAAAAATCTTCACACGGTCAAGCTCATTTCAGTAGAAATATAATTGTCTAGACGGGGTCTTGTCATAACATTTTTGGACATTCTATCTGTGTTGTTTTCAAAATTCACTACTACAATTATATTTGCTACGTTAAAAAATATAATATCGGCATCCCAGTGGAATTTGTTCATCTAATTGTAAATTCACGCATAGTCTCGGCTTCAAGTGAAGTCTCTCTCATGCCCATACTTGCAGTAAGCTGAGACACCCTTTAAAGTCACTATTTTTCATGAATGCTACTTTGGATATCTCTCTATATAGGTACGCCAAAATGGCACTACCCCGCGATAACGCACCACATGTGTCTAAGTCCCCGATGAGTGGTAACCACCTAGCATATTCACAACATTTCAAGTTATTAAAATAAGCTAATTCATGTCAATTATTGTAAATACTAATTACACATACCTGACATGCACTTTATCTTTACTCGAATCTGGAAATAATATTGAACTGATCATGTGCATAATGTATGCACGTGCATGTTGCTCAATCAATATTTGTGGCGCATCAATAGACAACGGTACTGAGAAGGTCTCTTTCAACCACTTCAATTTAATATTTTCTCCAGACATTGACTCTGGAGCTACACCTAACAACTCCTTACACCTGTCTGGCCAAAAATGTCTATCACTGTCAGTAACGCAAGGACCATCTATGCGAAGACCGAGTATCATGGCTACATCCTATAGAGTAATGGTAGACTCTCTCATTCGGAAGTGGAAAGTATTGGTCTCCGGCTTCCATCTATCTATCAAAGCGGTGAGTAGGGGCCAATCGAACCTCATCCAACGAAGCTTTAAATATGTCAAGAAGTCGGCCCGTCCAACAGCTGCTATGATACGCTCATCCTCTAGATGCCAACGACTATAGTCGAGGCTATGATCAACCATAACAATATCCAAGCCTTTCTGTAGAGCAAATTAAAGTATAAGAATGCAATATTATAAGAATGCAATACTGAAATTATAAGAATACGCTTGTATATAAGTTCAAAGAACCACTTCCAACTAGAAGTATCCTCTACCTCCATGACTGCAAATGCTAGAGGAAATAAACCGCTATTTGCATCTACACCGGTCGCCACAAGAAGCACGCTTTTATACTTGGCATATAAATGTGTACCGTCAATGCTCAATAACGGACGATAAAAAGGTGAAGCCCTTAATAGCATGACCAAATGCCCAAAATACTCAATTGAACCTCTTCATCCCCGGTGCAATCTCTTCAGACAATATTTCATATTCAGTACCCGGATTATTCCGCTTGATAGCTTCAAGATACTGTGAAAGTAATTCATAAGATTTTTCCCAATCTCCAAATATTTTTAGACAATGCTTTCCTCCTTGCATCATATGTCTTATTTTAGATATCTTAATGTCAGGCATGTCATATACCCTTTAAAGTATTTGACCTGCATTTAGATCAAGTTCAGTTCTAACTTCAGGCATAATTAGCTTACATATATAAGAGGAAGATGAAGAATAATCATCGACATCCACCGATGGATTGCAACATGTATGAAGTCTGTAATATCTAGATATTACAAATTGCTCATTTGATAATTTTCTCACAACTGCATTTAGCAACCAAAGACATTTCTTGTTTCTCTCATATTGCTCATTTGCATGCTCTACTTCAATCTTATCGTTAAAGTAACATTTTACATAGTAGTTTGTTGCCTTAGTTTTTACTGGCTTAAATTTGACCCGATTTTTGATAGACCATTCTCGGATTGCAAAGATCAATGCTTTCTTGCTCTCGAATAGGTCCCCTTTTCTAAAAGTGAAGTTCGCAGGCTATTGAAAATTTGGACCAACATCAACAAATTCAGCTTGAGAAGTATTTATCTAATGCTCATTATAAAACTCATCGAGTAACGGATCTTCAGCTTCCACATAATTATTATTAATATTAAACTGTTCCATCCAACAGGAGTCATCATCGATTCTAGCTACCACATGTATGCTATCAATTTGCACGCCTTCTTCTTCAATATCTTCTAAGTCATCATTTGCTTCTTCTTCTACAATTGATCCGACCGGTAGGTCACTCGTAATATGGCCCGAAGCGTCATACTTGATGTCCCACCAAGAGAATGACCACTTAAATGTTGTAGTTGAAACCACTGATCTTGACTTAGAGATGTCATAAAACCACTTGACTCATTGTCTAAGTCAAGCATCTGAGAAAACTCTCCTTGAGGTTGTGAAACTTGAGCAAATTCATGAATCTGATACTTCTCAACGAACAACTCTATTGACACTTGCTTCTTGACTAATTATTTCATGTCATTCAATTCCTCATCGAGAAAACTCTCCTTGAGGTTGTGAAACTTAGGCAAATTCATGAATCAGATACTTCTCAATGAACAACTCAATTGACACTTGCTTCTCGACTAATTATTTCATGTCATTCAATTCCTCATCGTAGGTAATCTCCACAGCAATAGCTCTACTCATCGGACAGTTGAAGAACACCTTAATTGCATACTCTGCTTTATTAATTTTAGTAACTCTGTGTATTTCATTCATGACAGTTGAAGAACACCTTAATTGCATACTCTGCTTTATTAATTTTAGTAACTCTGTGTATTTCATTCATCATTCCATCAAAATTACATGACTTCTCTGTGTATTTCATTCATCATTCCATCAAAATTACATGACTTAGATAGCATAAACATTTTCCTAGAACCCCCCTCATACATAGATATCCTATTCAATCCGACACCGAGACTCCCATTGAAAAAGCAAATAATGGGTATAGAGTTTTCCATCAAAACTAAAAATCAACAGTCAATCATATGTAAAATAATCTATTATAACTGAAAATATTAATCTTAATTTAAAATCAAATTTA